CCCCCCCCCGGCAGAGATCGGAAATGGGAATCTGAAGACCATCCTGGGCCTGTTCTTCAGCCTCTCGCGGTACAAGCAGCGGCAGCAGCAGCAGCAGCAGTACTACCAGGCGCTGATGGAGCTGCAGCAGCCGGTGACGCATCACGCCGCGGACGCAGTGCCAGCAGGCCACCACAAGGCGGCGGACATGCAGTCCAGGTAGCCCCACCTTTGGCGTCCCTGTGGGCCATCGCTCGATTTAACTCACACGGCGGCCCTGCCGTTGGATGCATGTGGATGATGTACGATCGAAGTTACAGGGGTTTCATGTAAATAATGGTGAACTATAGATGTTATCATTTAAAAATGATGTAATTCTGTAGATTCGGAAATGAGTTTTGGGGGAATTCCTTCCTTGACAGGGACCTGTAATAACCTGGGAGGGAGGGGGCTGGGGGGGGGCACAACAAACCAATAACAAGTGAACAAATGAACAACTGAATAAACATGTGACATGCAGATCACAAAGGCTCCCTGCAGGCAGGAACAGGAAGTGATGTCACTGACTGAAACATGGGCAAGGCATATTGGCATACAAAGAGGAGGGAGGAACAGAGGAACAGGTGGGGGCCACATTTATTTAGCAGATGGTTTGGTGCAAAGCGACAGAAAAGCAAGGCAGATGATGCATCAGAGTGGGAAGATAAGGCAGTGAGGTCCAACCGTCTGCAGTCGGCCTTCTGCGATGTGAACCTCGGCCTCGGAGGGGGGGGGCTGCCACTCCCAGGCTGAGAAGCAGCCTTTGGCGTGGCGTTTGAGGCTGTCGTCATAGTCTCCTGTTGGCACAATTAAAACTGGGGGGCAAAGACATGGTTCAGTGATCTAAATACACAGTGTGCAGGGTTGGGGAGGGGGCTAACATGCCAGGCATTGGGGACATTCCTGGGGGGCGTTGGGGGCAGAGCAGTCCCAGCTGAGTTCATGTCTGTCCTGCATTGGGGCTCGTTTCTGCTGGGGGTGGGGGGGTGAGTTTAGGCACAGCTGTCTCAACCCCCCCCAATAGCCGGGCCGCGACAGGTGCGGGCAAAACCTCGGCCAGTGCAGACATCATGACGCAGGCCGGGAATTCGGAGTATGTCATCATGCCCTCCGCGTCATGACAACTCGGGTCGGCGTGGGGGGGGGCAATCTGACAGCACCTCTAACTTCACTCCTGGTTTAACAGGCGTCTGCTCAGACACCCGCTGCCGGTAGCGTTCCTTCACAAAGGCGGCCATTGTGCCGTGTCCTGAAAGCGGCTTTGAGATCCGTGGTGCTGATAGGGGACCCAGCACCGCTGACGTTCCCGCCGGAATGCCGGAGAGGATGATCCGCATCCCGACGGCGCGGCGGGCCACAGGCGCGGATCTGAATGATTTATCGCGTTCCGGCTCAAGCTCCCGGGACAAAACATAAAATGAATTAAACTGATGCATGTTAGCATTGGCTGGCACTGACACGCGGTGAATTCCCATTGGCTGCCGGTCCCCCTGTGCCACAAGTACAATTGCCAAGGCTCCCTCGACCCCCACATTCATGTCCGAAGCCCCGACCGTGAAGCATGCGATGTGGGCTTGCAGAGGATGAAGCCAATGGCTTTTTTTAAAGCCCCCTCCTCCTTGCCACCCCGCCAACCCCGTCGTGGTTCCAGTTTCAGGGCCAGCCTTTCTATAGCCCGCACCTGCTGGAGCCTGCACCCCGGGGCCCAGGAGCTGGGGAGGACACTGGAGGCAGGGCCAGCCTACTGATGGCCTATGGCAGGGGGGGGAGCCCGTCAGGGTGTAGGGCTGTGGGAATAGCCCAGCCCTCCCACTAGGCTCAGCATGTCTCGCGGAGAGCAGCTTGACCTGCCCGTCTGGCGAAGCCCCAAGCCCAGGGAGAAGAAAAGCCGGCTTCCCTGTGCGAAGCTCCTCACCGACAAGCCCGCGGAGCCCTCTAGGTACGATGCACGTGCTGCGCTCCCACTGCTTCCGTAATCTTCCTAATGAGTTGAAGGTGACGTGGTGTGCTCTCTTATCCCGGGGGACACCCCCCCCCCCCAGTTTTGGTTAGATTCAGTGAAATGGTGACTGATTTTATATAAACGGAATTTTTATGTAAGAATCGTGAAGATGAATTTAAAGATTACAGGTGGCCCAGGTTAAACTCGTTGGCCGAGATTAACAGCTAGTGTCCAGCGTGAATCGGCGCCCCAGGAAGCCGCCAGGACTCGGGAAACGTTTCCGATCACGCCGTGGTTTACTTCCCCACCGACTGGCACGGGCGCGGCTCTGCCTCGCGGCATTCGAGTGTTTGAGGGTCTCTGCGGTGAAATAGGGTGTGAAACAGTGACTGGCATCCATCTCGATCCTCTGGTGACCGGCGCTGGCTTCAGCGAAGTACGATAAAACGTACTTCGCTTCTTTTCTCCTCTGTCTTCTAAACATATTGTAATTAACCGTCGGCTTTAATCGATTGCTGCTTGGTCATCCGGACAAATCAGATCGGAGGAGAATACCAAAGAGTGTCAAATTTTGTTCCCATCTGAGTGTCATCACCTGATTGGACTTTGGGTTAAGGGGGCCAACCTGTGTTTTCGTGTGACCGTGAGTGATGTAAGGTACCCCCCCCCCCCACATTGACAGGCGGCTTCCAGGCCCGCTGTGGTGGATTCATGGTGCATCAGTGTCAGGTGCACACTTTGGTCAGGAAGTGACTGTTACTCCTTCCAGCTCTCGGCTCCTGGATTAATCACCTCTGGGCAATTTCTCTTCCCACCACACTGCGCAGGATTTATCTGCAATTGACAAAAAATTCTAAGCCTTAAAATACACACGCTGGTCAGTGCTGGGGATGCCGGCTGAATGCATAAGCAGACTGAGCCTTACATCAGTTACTAAAGAGGAAATCTGACCGAGAGATCAGACCATGATATGTATGTTAGGGTGATGCCTTATGCAGTGCTAAACCCTTAAGAATGAGATCTAAGGGCTAACTAAAGTGCGTACGTGACACAGCAGAGCTTATGTGGGAATTAGACAAGAATATACGGGATAGACTATATGGGGTATAAGCCATACCCCCTCTACCAGTCTGTACCCACACAGCAGGGCGTGTTGAACACAGGAGGAGCATTTTTTAGAATCAGAGACAGTGTGGGAATCATTTCTGGTTCCATCCAGTGAGGTGTAAATTTTAGACCCACAATGTAAAATGTCCATGAGGAGCATTCGTATTGCAGATCCCCCCCCCCCCCCTCTCTCTCTCTCTCTCTCCGCCTCCCATTTGTATCCATACTCTCAGGGAGACTCGGCACTCTGCCACGCCATGTCATTTGATAGATAGACCACGCACACTTGCACTTTAATCTTGCATCTCTGATTTCCCTTTGTTTTTGTTCAGTTACTAGATGTCTGGCTAAAATAGCTTACCAGAAGTTTCTTGTTTATCATTCAGAGATTTGCATTTTCCCCCATCAGCTAAAACCCTGAGCTTCTGTTCCTCACTAGTGCTGGAGTGCTGATACAGTAGTGCTGAGGTACAGATTTCATTACACATACGTTACGGTAGCGATTCCTGTAGCTAGTTGTATAGTTGTAACACGCTGGAGGTCTGATGACACGATTGATATACGGAGCCCGACTTGCTAATCTCACGGACATTTTTGCGGTCTGACATGGGTTTACAGGCCCTATCCAGCGGGTCTGGGACATTTCATCACCGGATGACTATCTCTGATCCAGACCGCGACGTCCTTGGTTCCCAATAAGATGTGAGAGTTGCGTGTTGGGTGTCTTCACACGCGACGATCTGCCTCCCCGCTGCGGTCGGAGGGGTCGAGGTCGCGCTGCTCGGAGACGGGCCCCCGACTTGATCGTTTCATTAAACGGAACCACAGAGGCCTGTAACAAGAACCAGGCGGCCTGCTCCCACCGCCCGGATTTGCCCTGAGTGTAAAGGAAGCCCCCGTTTGACAGACCCCCCCCAAACCCCCATAGATTTTGTGGCCTGCTCTTGGCTCAAGGTCCACATATGTTTCTAGTCGGGGACCTGGGCGCCCTGGCACTCGTTCCTGAGAGTCGTCGATGCCATGAGGACGTGGTTCTTTTGGGTTTTGAGATGCTGGGTGCGATGAACAGAATGTTCTGGATGCGAGGGGATGAAGCAGGAAAAAGTAGATGACGCTTCAAAGAGAGATGCTCCGCAGGGGAAGGTCGGGCCTCGCTAATCAGGATGGGACGGCCGTCTCGTCTGTGAGAACGGGTCGTTTAGCGTCCCTCTGCTGCGACAGCATTTCCAGAGGCTCCAGTCCCGTTCGTTTTGCGGGACACTGGTTTCACTCCTCTATGACCCCAGTGTGCTGGTTTGTTTGACCATCTTTCAGAGGATGTTGATTCAGCTTGTAGGTGAGCAGCAGGTGACACACAAAGCGGAGATTTCCTAAATAAACCCGTTAGGTAATATCATCCGCAGCAAAGAGTAATTACTAGAGACATAAGTTTTATGTCAATCCAACTCACAATTGCACGGTTTTTGCTAAGTATGTTTTCTTTAGAGATGCTGAAACGTCTTAATTCTCTAATGCAGGAAATCAGTTCAATTTAAGAAGAACAAAGTGTATGTTACATGGATTAATTAGTGGTTAGGGGAGCATCCAAAACAAAGTTGTAAGTTCGCTGGTTGGTCAACAGAAGAGGATCATTAGGAATCACTCTTTTCCTTCCTCACTTTATAGGAAATGTGACTGACATAGACCAGTGTCCTTAATGTATCTTGTATCAACACAGGGCACTCAGGTCCTGCCGTACTGGAGTCCCAAAATGCATAGCGCTTGTGTTAGTGTGGGTTAGCAATCAGGGCTGTGTACGGAAGTGACACTGCTTGGTGTGTTTGCTATAGCTCCCATGTGACGCTACACTGTTATGAGAAAATGAGTATAAATATGTCATGCTGATCCTTTCTGCCTTTCACTTAATTTAATGGTGTGTTCAGCTTTAAATTGGTGTAATTTAAAAGCAATGACAGTCACACTGAGAAAAGCAGTGTGCAAGAAATGATAACCACTACATGATCTTGATTACAATGACGGTCCACTGTCATTGGCTGAATATGCTGTCATTGGATGAATGTACTGTCATTGGCTGGATGCGCTGTCATTAGCTGGATGCGTTGTCATTGGCTGGATGCACTGCCACTGGTTGGATGCGCTGTCATTAGCTGGATGCGTTGTCATTGGCTGGATGCACTGCCACTGGCTGCCCTGTCATTGGCTGTATGCGCTGGCCAGTCTTTTCCTTTGATCTGCGCTTTTTCCAGCCTTGTTTTGATGAGCTTTACCAGGTGACGGGGTGACGTTCAGCCTTGAATCGAGGTCTGCCTCCACTGGCCCCCCAAGTCCCTTATCGCCGTCCCGGGAGATCCGCGCGCCTTTGCTCGCCTTGACCGGCTCGGGATCTCGAGGCCGTGTCGTTTCTTACTTGCCCCACATGCTCGCGTGTAGCTGAGGAACTCGGGGGGTTAAGACCCAAATCCCTGCTGTGTGGTTTCTCTGCACCAGGCTCCTGTCACGCTAATAGTCTCTAAACACTGGGCTCAGCTTTTTGTTTTGACACCCTCCAGCTTTAAAGGGGGGGAGTGGAGGGTAAATAAAACCACGCCTTGCGGCTTTCTGGGTTTTATGAAGAGCCGAGCGGGTCGAACAAGAGGCCTGGTGCCCCCCCACCTCCCGCCCCCCAAACTCAGCTTAATTCAGCCAGTGCCTCCCCAGCCCACCCCCCACCCCCCCGAGAGTAACAACACGCAGACGATCTGTCATTGAAACCAGTCAATCTTCATTCTTCTGCTTTCCATGTTTCCCAGCCTGACTCGCCCTCCCCGTGTCACATGACCACATGACCGCTGTGTCACTCGGTGTCACGCAGGCGTCCCCTTTGTCTTTCACATGGTCGTCATCCGTGGGGACGTTTCTGTGGTGATTTTGCCGGAGCAGAGCTGTGCTTCGGGTTCACTCGGCCCTCTGGGGTGCACTCTTCCTGTCCGCTTCCCACCTCACTATTATATTACTTGTTTTCCCTCAATTTCACGTGTCCTGTGATGATCGTTGGCATGGCAACGAGGGTTCACCATCACTATAACTGCCAAAGGTGAAACTTTGAGAGCTGCTCCGTGCCAATGCACCGGACCCCTGCCGGACGCGGTGAAAGTGTGACTGATGCGATGTCCTGTGCCAAATTGACCATGCCGGTAGATTTATTATGGAGGGAGAGTACAGAGGCAGGTTTGGAGCGGAACTGAAGCCACGTGAGACCTGAAATGTACCGATCTGCATACATCCCGCTTGTTGATAAAGGGGTTCATGGTGCATTACTCACCGGAGGTTAGGGTTTGGAGCACGCCGGCCGCCAAGGGAACCGGTTTGTTCTTGTTCAGCTGTCTGAAGCAATGTGATGCAGGTTCACTTACTGTATATGTAAAAACATGGAAACTCAGTTTTATGGAAATAAATCTGTGACTGCAATCAAAAAACTTAAAATGCAAAAAGTTTTTTGGTCTGATTCCTTATGGTTTTTGTTTGGTTACTTATGGTTAAGGTTAGGGCTGGGTAGGAGTTAGGGTTATCATTGTTGGGATACGGGTTTTGTTCATAGACATGAATGGATGGCCTGTTTGTGTGTGTGTGTGTGTGGTCACCAAATGCCCCACACAATGTGATAAAAAATTCTTTTGACATTGTGGGGAGATTGTGACATTGTGTGCATAAATCCTGGGTTCAGTGGCTCATACTCACCGTCTTTTGATAACGAATGAGCCTCATTTCAATAAAACGCCTCTTGTTTTCCTTCTGTCCTCCCTGCCCTGCGCTCACCCCCCCCCACCCCAAAAGCCACAGCTCGCTGTCTGGGCCCCGAGACGCAGCTCTGTGCCATAAGCCCTGACTTGAGCTTGAAGGATTTCCTATCTGCCTGTCGGGTTACATTTCTGCAGCGCGGGGGGGGTGTCTTTTGCTTTCTGGAGCCTCTCTCATGGACATAGATGTGATTTTGGTGGATCTCCAAGGCCGAGACGTATTGAATGCTATATGGAAAATGCTTGTCACACATTTTCACAGGTGATGAAATTCATATTTATTCATGTGGCCTCAGTAACACACCCAAGGCCTCTTTCACTCTCTCCCCGGTGTTTCATTCGCTTGATACTCATTTCAGCCCCAGCCCACACCCCCCCAACCCCCCCCATTGCATTAGCATGTCTCTTAAGATGTCACCGTCCAGGAGATTCCATGAAGCTGCTAACTTTGTTTCCCCTGTCCTCTGTCATCCGTCCTCTGCACTCTCCACAGTCTCGCCACCCGAAATGCAGCACCGGCGAGTCACACGGGGACAGCAAGCGGCCAGAAGAAGAATACAAGGTGAGTCTGTACCGTCTACTCATGCGCTTTACACTGGAGAGTCCCGCGTCCGGCAGTACAGGCCCATTCTCTAAGTCTCCGTAAACCACTAACCAGCTTAGTCATGTAATAAAATACATTTAAATACATCCTAAAGCACAATGTGTGTCTACATAACCAGGCAGTACCAGGGAAAGTAAATTAACTCACCAGCTGATTTGTCTTGAAGATGCTATTAGGTTTGTGAAGCTCTTTTAATGGCTGCATAAGAGGATTATTAGTGCAGGGAATGCATCGGGGCTGGCTGAGGGTCCCTGCAGTAGGGCGACTGTGCAGTGTGCGTACGGCACAGTCACGCCTCGAGAGGCCAGGAGATGGTGACAACTCCCCAGCGTAGCCGGGAGTCGCAGAACGGCCGCGTCAGAGGAGTCGGACTCGGCACGGTGCCGCTGTGGTGACTCGCTGGCTCCGGAACGTTTCCTCATTCCGATCGTCGTCATTTTACATGTCATTCTATTTGGCAGAAAATGCCAGCCTATTTTGATAGAGTTTTTGCAGGGTTATTGTGCTCATTTTCCTCAGAAAAAGGGGGCGTGGCTGAAGCCACAGGTAGCCAGACCACCGTTAAGTCTCTGGGCCTTGGCTTGGAGGGGAGGGTCACCGAACCTTGACTATAAAACAAGCTGCAGTTGAGGCCGCGGAGCCCTGTGACACGGGGGCTGTCTCGCGCAGCCTTCACAGTCCCAACTGCCGCGCCATAATGAATCACTAATGGAAAATGACGTGCAGCTCGTGTCAGCCCTAAATTCATACCGCAGGTCCCGGACATTTCAGCCACATGTGCGATAGATTGTTAACCCTGTTTACGAGCCTGTGGTTCTGTGAGGTTTTTTCTGATAGGATTAACATCACTTACGTGATCACTGTAGATTATGCCCTTTATTATAGTTTCCAGCATACAGCAAAAACATTGTGTACAAAAAGCAAACATTTTGCAATATATTTATGATAAAAAATTAACAGCTGCTAAAATCAGCTATTAAAAACTGAATGTCATTCTTAGCATCTTTCAGCAGAGGGCAGCATTGCACAGCCTGTGGGCAGTATTAATCGATTCAGGGGTGCTGTAATAGTTACTCCGGTTGCGTAACAGCCAGCTAATTCTCTGTCCAAGAAGCAGCGTTCCATTTTGCTCCGGAAAGACCTGTCAGGCGCCTTCACCTCTGCGACGTGTGCAGCAGATGGCAAAACCTTCTGTTTGGGTACGAGCTCTGAGGAGCCCCCCCACCCCGTCATTAGCCGGGGGCTGCGTATGAGCTGCCTTTGGTGTCACCAGATGCTTCAACGGCAGCGTGCTCATCAGGCAGAAGGCAGGTTGCATTTTTAGACACCCAAGTTCTGGTTAATTTCTGAAAAAAACTTTTATACCTTACCAAACTCCTGGTGTGTGTGTCTGTTTTTGTGTGTGTGTGTGTGTG